TTTGTAAGGGACGACGATAAAGTGACATCTTTATCTACATGGATTCTGCTTTTTGAGTGTCTTTTTCAAAATGCGCTTGGCGTCCCAGGCCGCAAAAAAATACCGTTTGGAACCATAGGTTTGGTCACATCATGGCTCTCCTTACGCTCTGGCTCTTTGGCTTCCGTCAAATAAGTATCTGGTGAGGAGTTGATCCCATCAACTCTATCACCATGCACCACATGATTCGCCATTCCAACGACAGGGATGGGTTTTTCTAAACGCATCTTGGAATATATAACGGACATAAGCCCCCCCAGATTTAAAAGTAGGCCAATGATATCGCTTATAGAGCCGACCCTCTCGCCCAATATCACAAAAGCTAGGAATCCAGTGAGAAACGGAGACAAGCAGCTGAACAGGGCGGGCAAGGACGCTGAAGTGTGAGCCACAGCCCTGTAATTGACACGTATGATTTGAGTGTGAGTTGCCGTGCTTCGGCACGCTTGCTTCGACTGCAGTGTACCCTTTTGTAGATCTACAAAACCATGCGTCGAAGGGAGTATGATCCACTTCAACGCCATATTGGACACTCCACCTTTTGAGAGCGCTGACATGCCTCTACTCGCTAGCACCCATTTGAAAGATCACCAAAGACAGGCATCCCTTGATTCTAATTCATAAACCCTGCAAACGTCTTTCGCTGGGGGCTAGCCTGGTGTATAGTCCTCTGCAATTATGCCCTCCCCCACACCCTTCCATCCCATCACGTACCATGTCTGACAAGCGTGGGCCCAGAAACTGATCACGAGTCCGCAGTAGAGAACAGCGCACCAAGCGTTACGGGGGACCCGAGTAAAGTCAAATTGGACTAGGCCTGTAGACAGGCCGACGACAACTATGAGTGACAATCCGATCAGAGAAGCATAGGCGTAGATTCCAAAGGGATAAGCATGCGTTTGTAGCTTGATTTTAAGGGCCACAAGATATCCGGCATAGCATAAAGTTTGAAGCAGCATGACTAGGACACCATGTGCCGTCTCGCTGGGGTGGCCAGCCGTCAAATCCATCTTATCGGGGCGCAAGACCACCAATGCCCCGCTAACAGCCAGTAAGATACCTCCAATTTTGAAAGGCGTCACACGCTCCAGCTTCAAGGCTGACGCGAGTACAGCTGCATAAACGGGTACAGTGGGAGACATAATGGCAACAATATTGGGCCCCGCTATTTTATTGGCCACAAAAACGAGTGTCTGGGGCATGACTACCCCGATTAATCCTAAGAGCAGCAAGGAGTGTGCGTCCCGGCGATCAAACTTTCCCAGCGAGCCTTCGCTCCACGCCAGAAAGAAAAGGAACGGCAAAGCCAAAGATACACGCATCATGGCCAATGACATGGGCGGTATGAACTGTAAAGCTGGCTTCGCTACAACGTGCATTAATGCGAAGAGGCACTGATTTATGAACAAGACTGCAAGGCCCAAGAACGGTGGCGGATTGTGGTAAAGGGAGGAAGTGTACCGACGAAGGAAGCCCAGCGAAATTAAAGAAGGAGGACTTGAGACACCTGTATGACATGCTGTGGATCGTTGGGAAGTAGGATCCAGGAGCTGCTCTTTCCTGTCATCAGAAGCGTCCGCGCCTTCGGTGGTGGTGGATGCACTTGACATGGTGCGTCTTTTTTTTGTCAGCCGCACAAATGTCTTGCTGTCATAAGGGATCGTATGGATTATTTGTCTGCGTCAGTCATATAAGCAAATAACAATCGCATGTTTCACCATAAGCATAGTCGTGGAAAAAGTATGACAAGAAAGGTACGCGTCCGTACCCCAGAAAACAATCACAAAAAGACCAAGCCCCGAGGGCATTTTTTTTCCGGCAGATGCGATCGATACGATGCATCTTAAGCATGCTGAAGTATGTATCTAGCGCTAAGAGTCCCTGACCATGCCTGGTGCAATCAAAAACCGAGGCATTGCGTTCCGTTTCGTGTTGCCTCTGGTAGCCTACTAATCGTAGCAAGCTTGTACGTCCCCCGCCACGTCAAGCAGGGGCTACGCAACAGCAGACCCGCCGTTCAGTGGAGCAACCGGGTATGTATGGGCCACAGAAAGGGCGACAAACAAAGAGTGCGCGCCCCCCGCGTCCAAGACAGCGCGCTTTTGAGGGGGATGTCCAGGCGCCAGTAGGGCGTTGGAGTGAAATGGGCCGGGGCTAGGGCGAGGCCCCTCTCGAAGGCCGTCGCCAGGACGCGGAGCGCATCTCCATCATTCCCTCCCTCTTTTGTATCTTCCGTCCTCACGTTAGACTCCGCGCATGACGCGAATCCCATAACAGATTGCGACCTACAATCATCAAGCTGACAATATTTTAGGGGTACGGGTGGAAAGGAACACGGAGGTTTCAAGGCGGACGCGGACCTTGAGAAGCCTGGCAATTCACTGATGATAGTAGAGGTCATGGCCACATCATGGGATGGCGCACCCATGAATCAATCAATTAAGAGAACGCCGACAGCAACAACCTTTATCGAGGTGGGATCAGGTCTGGAGGACGATAAAACACCGGCTCACCTGGATCAGGAAGGAACCCGTTCCTCCCTTCGAAACGAATCCCGTGGGGTTAGTCGTCCACATGCACCGGAAGCTGGTTGCAATAGCGGCGTCGCTGTATTGACTGAATCTTCGCGGGGAGGGGGAGCACACAGAATAAGGAGGAGATCAGGGTCACGAGACGGAGCGGCAGATAAGTGCCGTGGAGGGATTCCGAATCCAGCGCGTGCCGCACCCATGTGCTGGGAGAGACAGGGCTCGTCAATGCACATTCAGCATCAGGACTGTTCTGCGGGCAACGGGGATAGCAGTGACACGCTAGGCGTTGATTCAGATGATGACGAGTTGAACCAGGACGAAGAGATGGTCGCAGCTTTGGCAGCGGCGGCCGCAGCGGCTGCATCGACACCTGGTGAAGGAAGCAGCGAGGGGTTGAAGAGGGAGGAGTCTGCGATACCTCTTCCAGAAATGGTAAGCAGACTGTCCAGCCGATCGTCTGCTCCTCAAGCCTCTGTAGTTGTGCCATCATTGGTAGCCTTGCATGAGGTGGACAGCTACTACTCTTCTTCAAGCGCCCGAGCCACGCGAGCTAGCAGCTTATCGCACTCGGAGTCAGTCAACGTCCCCCGAGAGCGGAGTCAACAACTATATGTGCCAATGCCGGCAGCTATAAGTAGGACTTTGGGGGAGAACAACAACGCTATGATCGACCGACGAGCATGGTTAGAAGTTGAGGACCGGAAGCACCGCTACGCCAAAAACCTGCGTTTGTACTACAAGGAATGGGACCGTCGAGGTCAGCCAGGGAGTTCTTTTTGGAGCTGGTTAGACGAGGAGAGAGTGGAGGTGCGTACGTGTAGGGGAGGGAACCAGTGAACCTAGGGCGAGAAATTCTATGGTGAGCTCAAGAGGCAGGGTGCGTTCTCATCTTTTGCGTATTCGTTGATGGAATCGAGCTCGTGTCTTCATGGCGGGAAGCACGCGAAAATTATCCGTTTCCATCGTCTGGGCGTGCCCTGGCCGCCGTGGGAAGTCAGTCCGATCAATCGAAGCCTGGCACAGCGGCCTTCTCATTCTCATCCCACTCACAGCTAGAGGAATGCTCCAGGGCGCAATTGGAGGCGGAGACGGTCTACTACTGTTCGTTCACCAAGGATCGGGAGGCATTTGAGGTGCAATTCGATGAGCATGGGCTCTTGCATCAGCGACAGGCAGGGGCCTGGGATTTGGTGGAGACCGGGCCGGACGGGTGGATCTTCGTTCTGAGGGACGGCCTCGTCTATGCCCACGAGAAGAAGACAGACCAACCGCCCAGGTGAAAGGGGGAGAGATCAGGGCCGTAGGGGGCAAATCTACGCGCATTCAATTTTGACCGAGACACACATCTTTGGACAGGTTTCACCACTCTAGCTTCTTCGCCGGCGAGTGCGTGCAGGCGGCCGGGCTCTTCGTCGCCACCGGGGGGGTCCTTGAGCGTCTGTACCCGCACTCAGGCCATTACCGGCCTTCCGACAGCCATCTGCTCTCCCTCCTCCTCTTCCTGGAAGCCCAGCATGTGGACATGGCGCTGATGCAAGTCGATGTCCAGCTCGTCATGAAAGTGGCGCGCTCGCACGACGCTACCAAAGGCGGGCGCCGCCGTAAGATCGACAGTCCTTACATGTGGACAGGGCTGCACGCCAAGTATTTTTTGCTGGCTAAACGATACGCGTGGGACAAGAAACTCTTCGATGAGATGCTGAGGCACCGTCTCTGTTTGTGCCCGCCCGGGACGTGAACATTTTTCCTGAAGGCCGTCGACTCCAAGCAAGGAGGTTGTATCCCGCCCCGTGGCGGATTACATCTCTAGTCGTGAATTTGGTGTTGGGATTGGGGGGGGGGAATATTTGTGCGTACATATGGCCGCTACGAAAATGACAAAGAACCAACCGATATCGTAGACAAATACAAGAACGGAACACCAAGTTGTTGATATCATGTTGGCATGCTGCGGAATTTAAAAAAGTCGGACGGTAAATGGTCCTTAGGGAAGACCTCACTTGTCTTTATAACATAGACCTCACTTGTCTTTATAACATTATAACATCGTTTATCAAGTGGCGCACAACTGCGCCCTGTATTAAGTGACTATTTGACGTACTACATCGAAAACAGCATCCGTCCTGCGAAAAGTGTGCTGCTGACGGTGCTCTTGATCGGGTACCAGACGAAGCGGTGCGCTTTTCTACTTGTCGACCGCAAAATTGTATTTCAGAAGCAATCATCGAATGCGAAAAGCAGAACGAAAAGCTGAGCGGGCTTACCCTCATGGCCGGGGCATGACGGCAACGTGGATGTTGTTGGTTTTTACGTGCCCGGCCGGGGTTTTGCGGCCGCCCCCCCTCTCGGCTCTTCGCTCGTCGATGCACGCCACGGGGGGGGGAGGTTGCGCCTCTAAATCTAGCTCACGATATCATTCGCACGACATGTCAGGAATGAAGCGCAAGCATGCAGAGACCCTTTGTACGAAGCCACTGCGAGTACTTGTCCTTGGGGATGGCAACCTCTCGTACAGCCTCGGTTTGGCGGAACGCTTACCAGGGGCGCAGCTCTTGGCCACCTCGTTCGACAATCCTCAAGAATTGCACAGAAAATACACAGAGAGCCACGCCACTGTGACGCGTTTAGAGGCATTGGGCGCACGTGTTCGTGTTATATATGGAGTGGACGCCTTGAACATCCTAGAAACCCTGAGGCGTGTCCAAATGGAAGAAGGAAAGAGGGCTGACTCCTTCCGAGAGCCTCCACATGACTCTGTCTCCAATTGTGCGCGCACTGCAGACGGTCATCCGCTTGAGGTGTTCGACCATGTGATTTTCAACCATCCGCACACGGGCTGGGAAGATATACACCGGCACAGGGCTCTTCTCGCCCACTTCTTGGAGAGCGCAAAAGCCGTTTTGGCGTGCTCGACCACCCAAGGCACGGAGGGAGGTCAAGTCCACGTAACCTTAGCAGGGGATCAATGCAAACGTTGGAAGCTTCTTCAGACAGCAGCGCGACTGGGCTTCAAGCTCCGACACATCTGTGACTTCTATCGACAATTCGGGCCTGACCCTCCCCCGGTAGACATCAAGCGACATCAGAGTGGCAAGTCTTTTCGCATCCGGGGGCTGCCGAGTTTTACGTACTCATTCACCTTAGAAGAAGTCAGTTATTATTCAGCAACTGCGAATGCGGCCTATTCATTCCCCCCGTCTCCCTCCCTCTGGAGGCACGCCTACGATCCGGAGGAGCACGAAGCCGCCATGACCATAAGACCAGGGAATAAGGGGGTTGCGGGCGGCTCGAAAGGCGCCCCCATCACCGATGTGGTTAAATCAATCAAATGCGATACTTGTGAGAAATGTTTTCGTGGGCCCAAAGACCTCCGCAAGCACATGGGCGATGCTCACGATAAGCCCCCCGTGCAGGTGATGAGGGCGTATGGCCTGGGAATGTAGGCTTGAACAAAGTATGAAAACAACTGTTACTTATCGGATATTTTCACCTTCATCCAGGCGGAGGGCCTACCGTGCGAGGCCTGCGGACGGGATTTCAGAGATGAGGCCGCCTTGGGCCAGCACCAGCGCGCAAAACACTCGGGCAGGTTCCAAGATCTGAAGCCAGATTGGTCCACTGCTGCATTAAATGTCTCCGAAACAGACGAGTCAAATGCTCAACCTTCTTTGCACTTCCAAGGAGTGGAAAAAGAGGCATACGAGGCAAGTCGGGCAGACAGAGAGGAGGATATGGTACTTTGTACTGTGTGCGACTATTACGTCGCCTCCCGTACCGCGGAGCACTTAGCCGATCTCAGGCCCCCAGAACGCCCCATTTATAATTGTCGCAGCTGTGACCGCACATTTCGAGAATTACGGGCCCTCAAGCAGCACGCCAATGCATGCTGGCCGTTCAAGAATGGGCATGGGATAGAGCGTGGTAACAAAGAAAAATAGCATGATGATGCGTCGACATGCTGGTAGAAAGCTTCAATTTAATACAGACGCGCGAATATATAGTCTTTGTATGGCGCAGTGCACTCGTTTATATATGCCCGTCGTGTAAACCACGACTTGCGGCCACCATCCCCTCCGGGGACATGAACAACATCAGCTTCAACTCCATCGTTACAAAGGATGGAAGATCGAGGGGAAAAACAGACCTTTGTGTCAGTGATGGACATATCGTATTTAGATTGACAATCAAGTAGATGACATATTTCATAAATGGTGGCTTTAGCGAAAATGTGCTCCAGTTTTATATCGCAATCAGGGCTCGATTCTGACAGTGCAAGAATGAACATCAGATAATCAATGATAACGTTGCTTTTTTGCAGAAAAATGCTCAAGGATTGAGTCGCAATCCAGGATCGATTCTGACAAAGAAAGGTCGAAGCTTCGTTGTATTTAATCCACTGATATCGTAAAATTGCGTCAATATGCGCCCGCATTGTGCTACGAAAGGCTCCCGGGACGAACTCCTACCAACGTCGTCCTTTTGGTTCAAGTTGTTGCCGGCGGGTCGATCTCAGCCTCCATAGATTCAGCATCCATTCTCATGCTTCCAGGGTCGACCCTAATGTTTCCTGTATCCATCTCATCATCGCGGGAGAAGTCGTGGCTGGGGACGAGCAGGGCAGGCTTCAGAGGGGGCAGGCAGACTTCAGACTCTGTGACGTCGCAATGGGTGATTTTGACGCATTACCTACATCTATCTTAAAAGCTTCCGACTCCACCAAAAGAAGTCCGCATAAGACATCACTCAGCTATCAACCAACTCACAGGAAGTTGATAATGCGAACATCGCGGCGGCTGGCGTCCTCTGTACTTGATTCATTGCCTTCAAATGGCAAGTTACCTCTAGGTGCAATCGAACTTTTCAAGACGCGGCCATCAAGCTGGCGGACAGTCCCGATGGGTGAGAATAGTTTGAAAGGGTGCTTTGCACAAGAGAAAGATTGCTTGCTTTCTAGCATGGCACCTATGTCGAGTTTCTCCTGCTGTCTGGCGTGGGACGACGCTATCGATGTCCTGTTGCACTCCTGAGGCGGTCACAATTTGTGGGTATTTGTTTGCAAAGCCTTTTCACTCGTAAATGCACACATACTGATCGCATGACAGTTGTATGCGGCTCTTTGATGGTGGTGGGCTCATTTGTTTGGGTACCTTTGGTTATTTGGCTGGGCTGGAGGTAAGTAGTCATACGGCTATATGGAGGCTTCGTATGTTTTAATACTTTCGTTCTACCCCTCATCATTGGGCACGTCTTGCATGTAACGTGTAGGAAATGTAAAACTCGGAATCGACGCATTATTTACGTCCTGGTCCTTTGCATCATATTGACGTTACCGACACGGCGGTGGGACGCCGTCATCATGAATGGATTGTGGAGCCGCTTTGTCGAGTACTTCTCAGTCGAAGTCGTTGGGGACGACCCTCTGCCCACGAACCGCTCCGCATTATATGCCGTCATACCGCATGGTACATTCCCCTTCGGCGTGGGTGTGGTAAGTTTCTACAGCAATAAGTATCACCAGAGGCCGGGAAGCATCCTGTATGCTGCCATTGCCAAATAACTATTCTTTTGCTCTCCTAGATCTCCCTAGGACCTCTGAACAAGCTCTTCAGTAAGGTACGACCTGTCGTGGCATCTGCTGTCCTCCGTTTTCCGGTAAGTGGCTTCGCATAGCATCGTCGTCGAAGGCCTCCTGGGGAATGGGCGTCGACCTCTGGATGCACGGCAAGGGGGGCTAGGAACGGATGGCTCGGAGGGCCCAATGTCGAGGTGGGCAAAAAAATGGATGATTCACTGCACCCCTTTCCATCCGAATTGAACAGGGCTTTGGGCAGTTGATTAGCTTTGCTGGCGGTATAGACGCAAAGGAAGAAAGCGTGAGCAAGGCTATCAAGGACGGGTGCTCGGTGAGCATTTGTCCTGGCGGCATCGCAGAGATGTTCTGGGGCTACCCCAAGGAAGGGTGTCTCCCGCGGGAGGAGTACGCTTTTTTGCAGTCTCGGAAAGGCTTTATTCGCATGGCCATGAAGCATGGAGTGCCTGTGGTGCCCGTGTATTGCTTCGGAAATACCCACGCCATGCACAAGGCCAGAATGCCAAGAGCTCTGGAGGCTCTCTCTCGGTGAGTGGGTTTGCGAGTATGAAGATTCCCCTAATGTTCCACTGCCTAGGATTCTAGGGCTTTTTCAGGTTCCGTCTCACGTTCGAATGCTTGGCACACATGTTTTGATGTTTAGACTCCTCAAGGCCTCGCTCATTGTTACCTGGGGCCGCTGGGGCTTGCCCATCCCCTACCGCATCCCCCTGCTCTACGCCGTCGGCAAACCTCTTCATTTGCTGCACGTGGAGAATCCTACTCCCCACCAGATCGAGGCTGCCCACTCGGAGTTTTGCCGCGCGCTCTCCGATCTCTTCGACAGGTACAAGTTTTACTACGGCTGGGGCCACAAGACCTTGCGCATAGTCTAAATACACCGGGGACGGCCCAGAGGCTCTCGAAAAGCGGCCGTGGTGGTAGTCATGATGGAGAGTCAACGGCAAGCTCGTCGTGACAGAGAATTATGTCATGTAAAATAGACAAAGCAACCAGCTTGAAAGCACAGGGCCAAAACTGAAATAATAAGCAACATCTCGCAGCCTTGCACCTTCGCACATGGCTTGTCTCCGTGAATATCGCCCAAAAATGTTCAACCATATACTTTTCTTTTTCGTTCAATCCTGGTGCGGGTGTGGCTCCCTCCCGGGTGCCACTGCTGGTAGTCGCGCTGCGGCGTCGGCAAGTTGATGAGCAGGCGCGAAATCGACTTGCACGGCATCCTCATGATGATATGTGCCGCACAAGTAGTGCAGGAGCGCAGGGGTGTGAAGAAGGCGGCGCAAGGGCCAGCCCCTGGCCTCGGCGACGACCGGGAAGACGAACTCCAGGAAATAGTAGGTGTGCCCGACCACGATGCCGATGACGTCGATGGTGGCGGGGTTGCCGAGGACCATCGAGAAGGTGAGAAGTACCCAGGGCAGGTACGGCGCCGTGAAAGGAAAGAGATTCAAAAAGGTCAGGCGCACGTGCTCGTTACGGCGGCCCCAAACATAGACCATCATGAAGGTGAGCGAGGAGCCCAGGAAGGGGATAGAGGGTCGGACGAATGGGGCAATGCAGGTGATCATGCTCGCGCCGAGGAAAATCATGAATAGGAAGTCGGCCGTGCGTCCTCGAAACGTGCCCTCTTCTAGAAGACGGCAGTAGCGGACCAAGAAGTACATGTGGAACAAGAAATCCAACGAGAGATTGCCGAAATACAGGAAGTTGGTGAAGAGACGCCACACCTGTCCTTCGCGCACAAGGCTCAAGTTAAAGTAGAGATGGAACGGTGAAATAAGATCTAGTGCGCAAGCTGCAGTTGTCAGCACCGAGGCTGTCAAGTACATGCGCGAGACCACTGGCATCTCCATGTACCACACCTGAAATAACGGGAAAAGAACCGGGTGAGTCGCCTGGGTCTTCCATTTATTGGCCTCGCCCACCCTAGCGCCCCGGACATTCACAGTGAGCTGTTCAAATAATATATCACTGTTTTTTGCTCTTCACCACTTTTCATCATCGCGACCTACCCAAGGGCCCATTTCAGCGGCTGGCGGAGGCGGTGGCGGGGCATGATGCTGCTGTTGCTCTAAATTATTTGGCTGCTGTGGAGGACCTGGTGGTTGTTCAGGCTGTCCCTCATCGTCTTGTTGCTGGAACATTCCTACTGTGGGCAAATTTCTGAAGGCGAAACCTGCAAGAAAGTGAGCAATGAGGGGTTGCTTTTGGTGAGACTCTGAGACTCCAAACCTGGCAGGCCGTCGCTGCGGGCGCATCGCACTGTCGGTTTTCACATATATAAAACTGTATCCCATCATCTGCTCATCGCATCACCAATTGTATTTGCT